ATTTCTCCTTGTGACTTTTTTTTTCTTTCATTCTTTTCTCAGCCATACAGTTGGTGGCTTGTTAGACTCTGAGGTAATAATAATGTTTGCTTAATTGGGAGAAGGCCAGACCTCTTTCAATTGTTTTGTTTCCCTGAGATTGACCTGTATAAAGTTAGGGTTTGTATTGTTTTTTTTGATAAAGTATCATTGGAAATTACGGGATAGAGGTTACACAAACTATTAATAAAGTATGTTTCAGCCTTTCTTTTCTTTTCCCCTGTAATGAAAAGTAATACTCTGTTTCCTCTAAGCTTTATTCTCTTCATAAGTCCATTTGTACCCAGCTTCCATTTTAATATCCCTCCTTTTTGGCTGTTGCTCTTTGCAGGATCGTTTGTTGGAACTTTGTGCAGGATATTTGGTGCTGGATCCCAGAAGCCAATTTGCTGAATTATTGCCCCAGTCAGTCTGGATTGCTGGGCTGTGAGTCTCCTTGAAGGTTTGTAGGCACTCCCAGGTGCCAGCGCAGGTGGAGGCACACCTGGAAGCCATTTTCAGGCACTTTCGCCACAGATATAAAAGACTCCAGAACTGCAAAGATGCTGAAACAGATACTATCAGACATGTACATAGATCCTGATCTACTGGCAGAGCTCAGCGAAGAACAGAAACAGATCCTGTTCTTCAAGATGAGGGAGGAACAGATCCGACGGTGGAAAGAAAGAGAAGCAGCAATGGAAAAGAAGGAGTCCTTGCCAGTGAAATCCAGACCAAAGAAAGGTAAACTTAGCCATGTCTCTTCTGTGTATGAGCTAGTAGAATAACTCCTGGCTAGTTTTAACATTTCACACTAGTCACAAGCAAGCCAGGTGTAGTTCCAATTTGGTAGACGGATCTCAACTGTTGTTGAGATTCTAATAGTGCAATTTATCAACTTGAAGTTTACATATACAGAGAAATTACCTGGAGTTATGTAGCCATAAGCAGATCTCCTACTTGAAACCAGACTGACCTTAAGCTGAAATAAAAAATCACCTATGGGGTTTAATTTGAAGAGTATTAAGGAAGGTTTAGGAGCTCTGGTGGCATAGTGCCTAGGGCATTTGACTGCTAACCAGAAGGCTGGCAGTCTAAACCCACCAGCCACTCCTCAGAAGGAAGGTTGGGCAATCTACTGCCACAGCGATACCACCATGAGTCAGATCCGACTTGTCGGCAGTGTGTTTTTCAAGGAAGGTTTGCATTTCCCCAGAGGTCCCTCAGAAGAAAGTCCTGGATATCTCCTCCCCAGAAAATCAACCATTGAAAACCTTACTCTGACACACATGAGATCACCATGAGCCCAAAATGACTTGATGGTACCTTTTTATTTTCTCCCTGAAATCATACAAAAAACACAAATCCAAACTCTCTGCCATTGAGTGAGATCCATGGAAGAGGAACTATTTGTACATTAAGATTTACAGCATATACACACATAATCAAAAAACAAACTCACTGCCATTGAGTCGATTCCAACACATAGTGCCCCCTTTCGATTTCCAAGGCAGTAAATCTTTACGGAAGTAGATTGCCCAGAAAGCTGTGGAGTGGTTGGTGGGTTTGAACAGCCAAACTTCTAGTTAGCAGTCAAATGTCCTAGGCACTATGCCACCAGAACTCCTTATGTACACATATAGACACAGAAAATCACACATAATTGTCCTATTTTTTTTTTCTTTCTTTATTTATTTTTAATTGTGATTTGGGTGAAAGTTTACAGAGCAAATTCACTTTCCATACAGCAGCTCATATACACTTTGTCTCATGACATTGACTGCAATATTCCATAATGCAACAACTCCCCTCCCACTTCCTCCCTCTAGCCACCTCTTCCCTGTGTCCTTCCCTCCCATGCACTCCTGCCCCCTGAGCTGTCTCCCCGTGCTTGCACAACCCTTCTAGTCTCCCATGATTGATCTCTTCAAGGAGTGTTTCTACCTAATGTAAATGTTCAGCTCATATGTCTGTCTTTTGTTTGGCTTGAAGTCACAAGCATGGGTTCAATTCCAGTCCTGAAGGGCAACTAGGGGCCATAGTCTCAGTGGTTCCACCAGGCTCTATCAGACCAGCAAACCTGGTCCCCCCCTTTTTTTTTTCCAAATGATTTTGAGTTTTGTTCCATATTATTCTCCCTCTCTATCCAGGATCTCCCACATAGATCCCCTCTGAGTGGTTGACAGTGGTAGCCAGGCACCATCTACTTCTGGTCTCATAATCATATAGGCTATGGATTGCATGGTGTACCAGTCACTAAGACTACTTCTTTCCATGAATCTTTGGTTCTCTTCATTCTTCTTTGCTCTGGACCAGGAGAGACCCATCACTGCATCTAGATGGCTGCTTGCAAGCTTTTAAGATCCTAGTAGCTACTTGCCAAAGTAGGAGGTGGAACAATGTTTTGTGTAGTATGTTATGCCAATTGAACTTGATGTCCCCTGCGACTATGGTCCCGAGCCCACAGGTCCAACTACTTGCTCCCTCTGTGTAGCTGGCTGTGACCAAGAAGTGACTACAGTCTTGTCCTTTGTCAGCTCTACTATACACCTGGAAATTCCTACAGAACATACAAATACACTTGTAGAACCATTGTCTGCCAACCCTATACATGGTCTTGCGTATACTCCCCGCTTCATGTTGTTGTTGTTATGTGCCCTCAAGTCAGACCTGACTCATAATGACCCCTCCTTGGGTTTCCAAAGAGGTATCACTATGGAAGTAGATGCCCAACCTTCATTCCGAGAAGTAGCTAGTGGGTTTGAACTGCCAGCCTTCTGGTTAGCAGTCAAGTCCCTTAGGCACTACGCTACCAGAGCTCCTCACTGCTTCATAGACATACCTAATAGTTCAGCTTGTCCACCCATCTATCCACCTGTATACCCATGTTTTCCTTCACTGACAATGCAGTACTGCATGTGCAAATGGGTTCATCTATGTTGTCTGCACTTCCCATGTACTTCTCTCTGTCTTTCTCTTCCTCAATGCCACCATGTTAGTCACTCACATTTGGTACATTGCTCTTTTCTTCACCCAAATCAATACTTATCTCTACCTATCTAACTGTGTTCCCTCCCCTCCCTTCCCACTCCTGGTAACCAGCAAAGAAAATTTCATTCCTTAGATAAACCTTTCCTTGACTTTTACAATAACAGACTAATACAATATTTGTCCTTCTGTGATTGACTTATTTTATGCAGCATAATGTCCTCCAAGTTCATCCACATTATGCAGTGTTTTGCAGATTCTACATTATTCTTTAGAGTTGCACAGTATTCCACTGTATGTATGTACCATAGTTTGGTTA